ATCTTCCTACCTTGATAGAAGCGCAAACTCTTCTCACTGTAGCATGCCAGCTGTTCTCTCTTTAAATCTCAGACCGAATTCATAGGTTTTCAGGATGATTTGAAAGTTATCTAGGTAAGTTGGTGGGAACAGGTGACTTGGGACCCTACGCTTCCACCATCTTGCCTCTACCAAACTTTTCCAGTTTTTCCAGATGTTAAATGTGGTATATGAGGATGATCTCCAAGGTCCTAGCCCTGATACTCCATGTTAATATCTCAGCCTTGTACCCAAAAGTTTCAAGTCAAGATTAGAGATGGAGTTCCCTGCATCTTCCTAGAAATAATCACAACAGCCTAGACATGGCAATGGGCCAAAGAGAGGAGTAGCTGGAAATGGCATTCTTGAGAATACCACTTTTTGCAGTCTATGGGGTGAGAAGGAAAAGGGGAGCTCAGTAGAAATATTTTTTTAATAATATAACCTCAAAAATAAAGCTCAGAGATACTACTGTGATTTCAGACTCCATTTCAGGGGTACCTTGGAACTTGAGTAACCATTCATTTCTGCGGGGCCCACATACTAACACAGAACTTCTGGGAGAGCAAGCTCTCAGGGTGAGGAATTTGTGTGGGCTTTCCTGTTAGACGCATGGGAAGCTGAGAATGGTACCAGTCTGCCATGTCCCACCCTGAGGCAGGACAGAAATATGTGCCACAGTCCATTTTGAATATGTATAAAGTGAATAAAAGCCATAAAAACAGGCCAATGCCAAAGAAACTTGGCTAAGATGATTTGCTTTTAGGATTACTTTTAAAGTTATAACCACTGTACCAGTCAGGAACATTCTTATTTTAAGTACTTGGCACACATAACTCCACCAAGAAGGGAAGGAATAGAGGAAGGGGAAGGGGAAAGGGAAGGGGAAGAAGGGAAGGGAAGGGAAGGGAAGGGAAGGTACTTTAGCTCTTAAATAGATGTTTTTGCAGGTTTTTGGGTATTACACAAGCAGGCTGTTATGGGAGGGGTACCACCACAATCATATATAGTCAAATTCTTAAACATGAGCAGCAAATTTGGGCTCCTGATAAAAATCTCCAAGGGAAAAAAAGGTTAAAAGGAAGCTGCCAGGAATATAGTCCTTATCCCTTTCTTTCAAGTGGATCTAATGAGTGTGAAGGGCAGCAATGTGACAGCTCAATCAAACATCAGCATCAGAGAAATTAGAAATGTAAATTTCCCTGAAATTATAGTCCATGGGAACAGGCTCTTCTCCCTATTGTTCCCCTAAGATGCTCTAATGTACTGATTATTACTTAGAGGTGTGGGTGATACTTTCACTCATCCATGTATTTTTTTAGGAATCCTAGGTGGTAGGACAGAGGAGGTACTTCATGAAGTCCAGTCCTCATAGGGGGGCAGGGAACAGGGATGATAACTGGAGTTGAAAAAAAAATCCCGGAATATTTATGGAATTAATTGAGGCAGGGTCAGGTCTGAATATAATACAAGGCTTCCTAATCTCTAGCAAGATGTTCTGAATTATTGAGTAGGTACCAATTACCTGTATGCTATCAACCCTCAACCGTCTTTCACAATTCCTCTTCAAAGGAGATTAAGCTCTGAAGATTTCCCCTATGACTCTTCTTTTTAGTTTGACAAATTAAGCTTAAATTATTATGTAGATGCTTTGAAAACCACTGTATTTGTTCAAACATCTAGGGGAGGGAAAGAAATCATTTTTCTTGATTTGCAAGGCTTGTCCAAAGCAGCCCTCAGCAAGCTGGCAGGACCTCTCTCTGCTTGTGCAACTGCTTGGACAGGTAGAACATACAGAGAACCTATACCAGGGAACCAGTAAGGTTTGGCCACTTATGTCAATAGCTAGCAAGCCATGGAGTGGACATATCCTATTGCCTTCTGGGGGGTGGTCCTCTAGCATTCAACAACCTCTAGTCATACTAGGATTTGGATACTCCCCCAAAGGAAGTCTTGCTGCCTTGCTTAGATATGGACTTTACTGCCTTTACTGCCAAAACAAGTCCCTGTAGTATCACAAAGAAAAGAAAATGGGCTGTGGGAAGCAGAAGGTTTAAAGAAGATGTTGTGCAGCAGTGAAAAGAATACCACAGAGAGAACCTGGAAATCAGATTAAAATTTGAGCTTCATGGTCTTGGTAAGGAATAAACTTCTCAGACTTTCACTATCGTTATAACGAGTATGTGTGTGTGTACGTGCGCACACGTGCACGCAGGTGTATACATGCACATTTGCATGACCATGGCCAGAATTGTTGATGGGAAGGGTAGTCCCTTAAAAGCCCTGGTGACTGACATTCTAGAAGTCTTGAAGACTAGATATGACAAACATGACACTTTAGGTCTGTACTCTGAAATGTACCCATCAGGATTTGCTGGAGAAAAGCTTCCAAGAAGACAACTCTTCTAGAGCTAGTAAGTTCCACAGTGACCCCAGAGTCTGAAAAGGGAACCATGAGGAATTTTTCTTCTTACCAAACTAGACAAAGAAGGGCTTCACCAAGCAGCAAGGTGTCAGGGTTGTACATATGGGCTTGGTTGAGATTAGAAGACCAATCAATCATGCTAACAAAGGAGGCAGAGAGTAACTGTTCTCCCATCAATCCTGGCTCAAAATTGCCTTTTTGTTTCCTACCTCCCCATGTCCAGAGAAACACACCTGAAATTCCGTTTTAGGTGCTGAGTCTTTAAATCATAGTTCAGTGCTTTCGAGTTTGGTATTAATGAGACTCCCTGGATAGGCCAAGGAATTTCAAAAATGTTGGTCCTCTATGGCTCCAGCTTCAATGACTGGAAGCCCAGAGGATATAGAGGAATTAGAAGATCTAGGCATTGAGAAGAGGAAAGATGTTCCAGGGAATATGAAGACAACTACTGCTGGGTACCTCCTTTTACAGAGAACCCTGCAGGGGTAGAGAGAAAGGGGCCTGCTAATCAGCCACAATTTCAGAGTGCCTTAGAGTTGATGGGCTTGCTAGAGGTGATTTGGTCCAGCCTTCTGCTTCTGATCAGGCAACTGGACAAAGTAAGCCAGACACAAGGGAAGGAGGAACCATGATTCCCTAATAAGTTTGGGCCAGTGTTGGTTTCCTCTTATGAGCAACAGAATCTCTTAATATAGATGCATTCTTCTCTCTTCATCTCAAACAATCACTGCTGTTTTCTTATGGGGACATTATCCTTCAATTAAGACTAAAAAGTATAGCAAAAACTCAGAATTTTGGTCTTTTCCAGTCATTTTTACATTAAGAAAGATCAGAAGTAGTAGAAACAAGGAAAGATGATTTTTTTCTAGATTTTGGTAAAATAGCTGTTTGCAAGAATGGTGCTGGGCATCCCAGGTGGCTCAGCGGTTTAGTGCCGCCTTGGCCCAGGGCTTGATCCTGGGGACCCAGGATCAAATCCCACATTGGGCTCCCTGTGTGGAGCCTGCTTCTCCCTATGCCTGTGTCTCTGCCTCTCTCTCTCTCTCTCTGTCTCTCATGAATAAATAAATAAAATCTTTAAAAGAAGAATGATGCTTAATCTTTTTAGAATGTGCTAAACTGGGATGCGCAGGTGGTTCAGGGGTTGAGCATCTGCCTTTGGCTCAGGTTGTGATCCCAGATCGAGTCCTGCATCAGTCCCCCAAAGTGAGCCTGCTTCTCCCTCTGCCTATGTCTCTGTCTCTCTCTGTGTGTGTCTCTCATGAATAAATAAATATAATCTTAAAAAAAGAATGTGCTGGGGATCTCTGGGTGGAGCAGCAGTTTGGCGCCTGCTTTTGGCCCAGGGCGCGATCCTGGAGACCCGGGATTGAATCCCACGTCGGGCTCCCGGTGCATGGAGCCTGCTTCTCCCTCTGCCTATGTCTCTGCCTGTCTCTCTCTCTCTCTCTCTCTCTCTCTCTCTCTCTCTATGTGACTATCATAAATAAATAAAAATTAAAAAAAAGAATGTGCTAAACTGCTTGAAATATTAGGGAGATACTACCTCTCAATCACAGGGAACGATACCTAAGTTGAGATAAGTGAAATAGAGAACTGGCTCAACTTCTACACTGTGACTATGAAGCTTAAGGTTGCCACACTCTCCCTGGTAACATGATCAGCCTTTCTCATCTTGGTTATGTTAGCCTGTACACTGTCAGATTTCACTATGTGGGTCTGAGAGATAAATGTGAAATACTGTGACCCCTGGTTCTCTTGGTGGGCACAAGAAACAAATGCTAAATGGTGTACTCAACACATATACCTGTGGGGCCTTATAATTCACAGCTATTTCTATCGAACAGAAACCCAAGAACCTCAACAGAGTAGTGGCATTATAGAAGCAATAGCTATATTTATTTGTTAGGTTGTATATATCTTCTGCAAGTGAGTATCTTAGGAAAGGAACACTTTAGTGACTTTACTCACTAAAGACTTTCTTAGTTCAGAGAAGTCATGGCTGTTTCCAATGAAATAGGAGGCTGTCAGGAATTATTTTTATAAGCAGATGATAAAAAGCAGAATTTAGTCTTTCGATTGGGAAGGAGTGATGACTTTGACCTCAAGTGTGCAAGCTTGGGTAGACCTAGTAAATGTGTCAGGGTAATCTTACCAATGTAAAAAGAAGTATGTTGGTTGGCCTGCACCATAGAACCAACTTTATATTCTGTGTCTGGGAGTGAATTAGTATATACTATTTCTTATTCAAGTGTTCATCTAATGGTGATAAAACTCCAGGAGTGGAAAGAGGCTTGAAAGTCTATTGAGTCAATCCATTTTTTTCCTGGCATCATCCAGAGAGATGAACCTTTTTTAATGAAGTGTTGCCTCAAAGATTTCTCTAACCTTCTTAAAAAGCTATTCAAGTACACAATGCCTCCCATTAGTAGAACGTTTTGCCTTGGCTCTAATCTACATCCTTTCTGCTGCTCTTTCAATTTCATTTTTGACTAAGATGTGATATTCTAGCTAAGTTATTCAGACTTCCCAGTACCCCTGTTGGTAAGGATCCTACCTCCCAGTCTAGGACAGATGCCTGCCACTGGGCAATCTTATCAATATTCTCCAAACGCCGCTTGCGTTCATTGATCTGCTGAGTCACATTTCTCATGACAGCCAGAGCAGCTGCCACATATCTGTAGTCACTGTGAAGACACAAAAGTACAAGTTGGATGAATCAATATGTTAGAAAAACAATATGTTGGATGCCAACCATAGCATCCATTCTTCTCTTCCTACATAGTAACAGAGCCCTGATTTTCAGGTGTAACCCATACCACATGGAGTAAAAGATTATATTTCCTATCTTCCTTTACATTAAGGAATACCTATGTGATTAGTACAGTGACATGTAAATAGAAATTTTGAGCAGAGATTTTCAGAAACCTCCTTTAAGGAAGGTAGCATACGCTTCTTTGGCCCTTACTCAATCCTGATGCCTGGAACGTAGATGTAATGGTTGAAGTTCTAGCAGCCATCTTGGACCATAAGAAAAAGGTCCCTACTCCTTGGGATAGGATAACAGAAAATTGGAAGGAGCCCAACTCTCTGATGACCATAGGACTACTATAGTAGATATAGACTGCCCAACTACAGACTTTTTTTCATGTGAAATGGAAATAGACCCTTATGTTTTTTTATAGCATTATTTTTGTGTCTAATCTGATACAACCAGCCAGTAATCAAGAAGGGAACCTTCTACATGGCATGGTCCAGAGCCTTACCATGCCTTCTACCATTTATTTCTAGAGAACTCTGCCCAAAGTCACTGTGAAATAATATCCACTCCTTATCTCCAGTATGATATAGGGATAGGATATAATACAGTGGTTAAGAACAGATTCTGGATCCACACTCTTTGGGCTCAAACCCAAAGTGTGACAAAACTGATTAGTGGCCTTGGGTAAGTCTCACTGATTCTCTCAATGACTCAGTTCCTTCATATGTGAAATGAGGAAAATTATAGGAGGTTTGTTGAGGGTATAATCATCCACATAAACTGTTTTACTATTGGCCTATAGTAAATGTTAGTAGTATTATCAATACAAATCAAACATTTCTCTAGTATAGACACCACATAGTTTGCCTCTCAAAACATCTAGTCCCGGAAGTGCAAATTTTAGGCAGTTTCCTGGGACTTTGGATTCCCTACTTGTTGAAGGTTATACCATCTTGCCCAGTTTTTTCTGCTTATCTGATCTGATTTCCAATCAAATGGTTCCTGTGAAAGGCAGATTGAAAGTGAGATCCCAGTCATTTAGTGGAGCTACAATAGACCAAGAGGCCAAGAGAATGAATTATGATTCATTCTTAACTAACCTTTCCTTAGAAAAGTTGAACTTTTTCTAAGTTGAACTTTTCAGGCTTAGTGGTTAGTAAATTGGTCACTGTCCCAGCATGAATTAGAAAGAAGAAAGGATGAAAAACAAAGATACATGGCAACTGTCTTTTTCTTTCCTAATACATTGAAGTATAGTTTTGTTGACCAATCATAGGGACAGGGAAGTTAGTTCTAACTGACAGGTCAGACACCATGTAGCACCTCCTCTTAGTTGGCCTCCTTGTGTTCTCTAAACACTTGCCAGATCAGTCTTCAAATATAACTAAATTTTATCACCTCCAGTGACGCTCACTAACAATTTTATTCTGTCTCAAGACAACTTTGTTTAAAAAAACCTCTTATTTATTTATTCTGATTTATTTATTTATTCTTAGCCTTAATAAATGTTAGCTATTACAAGTTTTTCTTCTGGATCCAACTTCTGACTTATGTTGAACTCATGGTTGACTAATGCTTCCTAAGTCTCTTTAAAATTTGCTGTCTAGATGCAGTGAAAAGCCAAGACACCTGCACCTCAATGTTTATAGCAGCAATGTCCACAATAGCCAAACTGTGGAAGGAGCCTTGGTGTCCATCAAAAGATGAATGTATAAAGAAGATGTGGTATATGTATACAATGGAATATTACTCAGCCACTAGAAACAATGAATACCCACCATTTGCTTCAACATGGATGGAACTGGAGGGTATTATGCTGAGTGAAGTAAGTCAAATGAAGAAGGACAATCATTATATGGCTTCATTCTTTTGGGGAATATAAAAAATAGTGAAAGGGAATAAAGGGGAAAGGAGAGAAAATGAGTGGGAAATATCAGTGAGGGTGACAGAATAGGAGACCCCTAACTCTGGGAAACGAACAAGGGGTAGTGGAAAGGGGGGATGGGGTGACTGGGTGATGGGCACTGAGGGGGGCACTTGACGGGATGAGCACTGGGTGTTATGTTATATGTTGGCAAATCGAACTCCAATAAAAACATATACAAAAAAAAGGGTGGGTGAGAGAAGTGAATAGTTGTGGTCTCACCTAAACCCTGTTCAGAGCCCCCAGGCCTTCAGATGGGGTCTGAGCCCAGCCCCTTGATAAGATCTACTGAGCCAAGACTGTCTTGTTCCAGATATATCAGCTACCCTCCTTCTCAGATAGAGTCTTCCTTCCTGTCAGCTTAAGAAAGGTTGGAAGGTAGGGTGGGGACACATCACCCTTCTGTAAGCAAAGGCAGTATTATTATCCATTTATTGTTCTCCATCCATCTAATCTTCTCCCTTAGAGGCCACTCTGACTGCTTGCATTTCATACTTACTTGTCTGAACATCTATCTGACTAAGCCTTCAGAATGACAGCAACCTCTAAATGACTTCAAATCCAAGCTACTCTGACATGCATCGCAGGAGCTGTCATCTTAATATAGCTCCCTGAGGCCTGTCAAAAGAGGTGCCCCATGGCCTGGGGGACAGGTATTCATGTATCCTGCTAATGCCTGAACCACTCTCTCAGGTCCCTGGAGCCCAGGTGGTAGAAAGTGAGGGGACCAGGGACCCAGAGCACAAGAAGACCTTGAGGCAGCAGTTCCAATCACAGCATGAAGGACCACAGGGATGGCAAATCACAGGTAGATATCCTATCTTACTGGCTCCAACTAAACCCAATAAAGTCCTGGGGTTGCTTTAGCTTAAGAAAATCACATAGTGATAGGATTAGCACTAGGTGTTATAAACAACTGATGAATTATTGAAAACTACATCTGAAAGTAATAATGTACTATATGTTGGTAAATTGAATTTAAATTTTAAAAAAAGAAACACATAGTTTTGGGCTATGCTTTGAAAATGGTCTTTCTGGGGCTCTTAAAAGCAATTGTATAATATATAATTTACCTATTAATATAATCAGCCCACAAGTATGATTTTTAGAGCCTCCTGCTAGGTTCCATGAATAGATACTCAGGAGTAGGTGAGAGATGAGCTGTAATATAAAAAAATTTGAGAACCATTCTTTGGATATCCTGATTTAAAAACCATTGGTCAGAAGGTTGCTACTCTGAGATTTAGGTATAATCGTGATCACTTCTGGTCACTTAGCACCATGAAGTATAACCGTGGAGGTCATTTAGGCTCATGACATCATAGGCGGGCAGAACTGGAAGAGGCCTTACAGACTGGTTAGTACAATGGTTCATAAACCTTCTTGGGCATGAAAATTCCCTGGATGGCTTTTTACAAAGTTAGGTTCACAGGCCACTGTCCACACTTTGCATCCCTGCTTTGTCACACAGACTTGCTTTCTGCGTCTCAGTCTTTCTAGCCATAAAATGAGGAAGTCTGACTCAAAGACTTTCTTTTAAGGGCTTTCCATTTTAAGTGCCATAAATATTTTCCATCTTTGTTTTTAAAATATTCTATTTTAAGTGGGAGTTCTTCATTGTCCTATTAGCTCTCACAAGAAACTGTATCCTTAGAAAATTTGGGGCTCAGTTCTAGCAATGGTCTGTATTAAGTCTTCTTTTAAAAAAAAGATTTTATTTAGGGATCCCTGGGTGGCTCAGTGGTTTAACACCTGCCTTCAGTCCAGGATGTGATCCTGAAGTCCCAGGATTGAGTCCCACATCAGGTTCCCTGCATGGAGCCTGCTTCTCCCTCTACCTATGTCTCTGCCTCTCTCTCTATGTGTGTCTCTCATGAACAAATAAAAATAAAATCTTTTTAAAAAATATTTTATTTACTTATTTGGCAGAGAGAGAGTGTTCACAAGCAAGGGGAGTGGCAGGCAGAGGGAGAGGGAGAAGCAGGCTCAGGGAGCCTGATGTAGGGCTCGATCCCAGGGTTCTGGGATCATGACTTGAGCTGAGGCAGACGCTTCACCACTGAATCACCACTCAGGTGCCCCTGTATTAAGTCTTCTAAAATAACATTTAGTCGCCTCCAAATTTCATGTCCAATGAGTATGCCCAGCATTGCCCAGACTCAGAGAGGAGGGAACAGAATCCCCTTTTGTGGGGCCTTCACTACCTGCCTCCCTCATAGCCAACACAGCATGGCAGGCAGAGCTATCACTGGTGGTATTACACAAAAGGAGAATCAAGTGCTACCACATTTGGATTCAAATCATAAATTTGCCCAAGGCTCTAGAACTAGTGAAGCACATAACCATGGTTTGCTAAAGAAACAGCATCAACTTAAAAATGAACTCAGGGATTGGCCTTGAGATTAGCATAAACAAAACAAACTGGCTAATACAATTGGCCTTACACAACTAGGTCTGGAAGTCAGCTCTGAGGAAACCACACAATGGAGCCAAGTGAAAGTAGGAAGTGGGCCTAATGAGAATTAGGCAGAAAGCTTAAGGGAAACTGGACAAAGGTCTTCTTTCTTCTTGGAAGGTTCAGTCAGGAAGAGAGCTGAACTAGTAAGTCTAAGATCAGGGATTTAATACTAATTAAAGAAGGCTATAAAAATGATGAGGGAAATAGAGGCAGAACTCTCTGTGTCTCTCACGAATAAATAAAAATCTTTTAAAAAATAAAAATAGGGATCCCTGGGTGGCGCAGCGGTTTGGCGCTTGCCTTTGGCCCAGGGCGCGATCCTGGGGACCCGGGATCGAGTCCCACGTCGGGCTCCCGGTGCATGGAGCCTGCTTCTCCCTCTGCCTGTGTCTCTGCCTCTCTCTCTCACTGTGTGACTATCATAAATAAATAAAAAAAAATTAAAAAAAATAAAAAAATAAATAAAAATGATGAGGGTTCTAGCTCATAAAGTAAAGCATGTGAAAGAGTGGGAGGTGGTTCACTTATTGTTGGAGATGATTCTCAGCATATGCCTTACTGGTAGGCTCATTTCCTGGTAGATCATTTCCATTCAGAGAGAGATAACCTTCTTGACCATTTTTGGGTTGGTTTTCGTTAAAACACTGAACAATTTAAAAAAATTCGAGGAGAAGTTTCAAGTCTGTTTATTCCCTAGTCATGCTTTGAGTATAAAGGGAAGGTACATTTGGGATGATGCAGAGGAGGGTGGAGAAGACTGAAGAATAACAGGGCTATAGCCTTGCAGAAAAAGTCTAAAGTAAATACAAGTTATGTAGGCTGTTATTAGGATATTGAATCTATCGAACAGTGCAGAATAGACAGCTGAAAAATTACTCCATCTGGATTGTTTCACTTAGCTAAACTCAGAACTAAGAACCCAGTTAAGCTCCCTGAAGGCAGGGTGTAAGTTTTGCAGTAATGATGTTGCATAGTGACTTTTTGTGCATAGTGATTCCCAGCTTTATAAGAAACTCTCACAAGCATTCCTTTGCTTTATACACACAATAACCCTGTGAGGTAATCAAAAATATATCACCATCCCATTGTGCAGATAAGTTAACAGAGGCTCAGAAAAGGCTAAAGGACATGTATCTTTAATAAAGACCAACATGTAGATGAGGTTCTAACTCCTGTTTCCCTCTATCTTTTACCTATGGTCCTGGGCAGTATACTTGAGGAGTTCAGCCAGTTGTAAGGGATATTTGCAGATCTTCTGTACTGGAGTCAAAAGGAAACCATCGATAGCAATGTCAATCATTTGCTGCAAGAGGCGACAGGCCTCAAAGAAGTGCTGGTAGCGGCTGTCCTTCATAAGTTTGGAGAGTTCCATGCAGGCATCCAGGTGGTTGTTACAATACTCAGAGTATATCCAGAATCCATCTTGCTATGAGCACAGGAAAAATGGAGAGAAAAAAAAAAGTCTACTGAGAATTCCAAAAGAAGTTTTGGAGAAATGAAAAAAACAGATCCTCTCCTAATATGGGAAACAATGTCAATTTTCCTAAATCGATTCATAGTTTAATAATAAAACAGAGGAATTATTTGGGAAGTAGACAAACTTTAAACATTTGTATAGAAAAAATACGTAGGAATTGTAATGAAATTCCATAAAAGAAGAGTCATGACAGAACACTGCTCTTGACAAAAGTGAAGACACTACAGTAATAAAACTTTGGCATTGGATTTTATTTTTATTTTTTTAAGTTTTTATTTTAATTCCAGTTGGTTAATATATAGCATTATATTAGTTTCAGGTGTACAGTATAGCGATTCAACAATTCCAGTTGATGACCCAGTGCTCATCACAAGTGTACTTCCTAATCCCCACACCTATTTCAACCAATTCACCCACCCACCTCTCTCCTTTGGTAACCATCAATTTGTTCTCTATAGGTAAGAGTCTGTTTTTTAGTTTATCTCTCTCCTTTATTTTTTACTATTGCTCATTTGTTTTGTTTCTTAAATTTCATATATGAGTGAAATATTGTATTTTGCTTAGCATTGTATCCTCCATCTCTATCCATGTTTTGTAAGTGACAAAATTTCATTATTTTTACAGATAAATAATATTCCAGTGTGTGTCTGTGTATCTGCGTGTATTATACACCACATATTCTCTATTCATTCATCTATTTTTTTTAAGATTTTATTTATTTATTCCTGAGAGACACACAGAGAGAGAGAGGCAGAGACATAGGCAGAGGGAGAAGCAGGCTCCATACAGGGATCCTGATGTGGAAACTCGATCCTGGGACTCCAGGATTACATCCTGAGCTGAAGGCAGACGCTTAACCGCTGAGCCACCCAGGTGTCCCATATCCATTCATCTACTGATGGACATTTGGGATGCTTCCATATCTTGGCTATTGTAAATAATGCTACTATAAATGTAGGGGGTGCATGTATCCTTTTGAATTAATGTTTTTAGAATTTCTGGGCAAATACCTGGTAGTGTGATTACTGGATCATAGGGTAGTTCAATTTTAAATTTTTGAGGAACCTCCATACTGCTTCCACAGTAGCTGCACCAGTTCACATTCCCACCAAAAGTGCAAGAGGGTTACTTTTTCTCAGCATCCTAGCCAGCACCTGTTGTTTCTTGTGTTATTTTAGCCATTCTGACAGAAGTGAGATGGTATCTCGTTGTAGTTATGATTTACATTTCCCTGAGGATAAGTGATGTTGAGCATCCTCTCATTTGTCTGTTGGCCATCTGTATGTCTTCTCTGCAGAAATATCTGTTCATGTATTCTGCCCATTTTTAAATTGAATTATTTGGTTTTTGAGGTGATGAGTTGTATCAGTTTTTTATATAATTTGGACATTAACCCTTTATCAGATATGTCATTTGCAAATATCTTCTTCCATTCAGTAGGTTGCCTTTTATTTTGTTGACTGTTTCCTTAGCTGTGCAGAAGCTTTTTATTTTGATATAGTCCCAATAGTTTATTTTTGCTTTGTTTCCCTTGCCTCAGGGGACATACTTAGAAAAATGTTACTATGGCTGATGTTGGGGACATTACTGCCTGTGTTATCCTCTAGGACTTTGATGGATTCCTGTTACACAGTTAGGTCCTTTTTTAAAAAATAATAAATTTATTTTTTATTGGTGTTCATTTTGCCAACATACAGAATAACACCCAGTGCTCATCCCGTCAAGTGCCCCCCTCAGTGCCCGCCACCCAGTCACCCCCACCCCCCGCCCTTAATCCATTTTTAATTTGTTTTTTGTGTCTATGGTGTAGGAAGTGGTCTAGTTTCATAGTTTTGCATGTAGTTGACCAGTTTTCCCAAAACCATTTGTTTAAGAGACTTTTTCCCATTAGATATTCTTTCCTGCTTTGTCAAAGGTTAACTGAACATATCATTATGGGCTTATTTCTGGGTTTTCTAGTCTGTTCCATTGATCAATGTGTCTATGTTTGTGATAGTGCCACACTATTTTGATTACTATCATGTTGTAGTATAATGTGTAGTCTGGAATTGTGATAGCTCCAGCTTTGCTTTGTTTGTTCAAAATTGTTTTAGCTATTTGAGGTCTTTTGTGGTTCCATATGTATTTCAGGTTTTTTTTTCTAGTTGAAAGAAAAATGCTATTGGATTTTCATATGGATTGCATTAAATATGTAGATTGCTTTGGGTAGTAGAGACATTTTAACAATAGTCATTCTTCCAACCCATGAGCATGGAATGTTTTTGCATTTCCTTGTGTCATCTTCAATTTCTTTCATTGGTGTTTTATAGTTTTGAAAGTATAGGTCTTTCACCTCTTTGGTTAGGTTTACTCCTAGCTATCTAATTTTGGTACAATTATAAATAGGATTTTTTAAAATTTCTCTTTCTGCCTCTTCATTATTAGTATATAAAAATAATAACAGATTTCTGCACATTGATTTTACATTTTGCAACTTCACTGAATTCATTTATAAGTTCTAGCAGGTATTTGGTGGAGTCTTTCAGGTTTTCTATATAGAGTATCATGTTATCTAAAAATAGGGAAAGTTTAACTTCTTCCTTATCTATTTGGAAGCCTTTTATTTCTTTTTGTTGTTTAACTGCTGTAGCTAGGGAATCAGTAATATGTTGAATAAAAGTGTGAAAGAGCACATCTTTATTTTGTTACTGACCTTAGGAAGAAAGCTCTCAGTTTCTTCCCAGTGAGTATGATGTTGACTGTGGGTTTTTCAAATGTGGCTTCTATTATGCTGAAATATATTTCCTCTAAACCTACTTTGTTGAAGGCTTTTATCATGACTAGATGTTGTACTTCGTCAAACACTTTTTCTGCATCTATTGAAATGATCATATGTCTTATTGATCCTTTGTATTACTGATGTGATATATGATGTTGACTGATTTTTGAATATAGAACCACCCTTGCTTTCTGGGAATAAATCCGACTTGATTGTGGTAAATGATTTCTAAAACATTGTTGGATTTGCTTTGCTGATATTTTGTTGAGTATTTTTGCATGTATGTTCATCCGGAATATATTTTTAAAATATTTTACTTATTTATTCATGAGAGACACATAGAGAGAGAGGCAGAGACACAGGCAGAGAGAAAAGCAGGCTTCACGCGGGGAGCCCAAGACAGGACCCCATCCCAGGACTCCAGGATCACACCCTGGGCCGAGGGCAGATGCTCAACCACTGAGTCACCCAGGCGCCCCATGTTCATCAGGAATATTGATTGACCTGTAGTTCTCTCTTTCTCCCTTCTCTCTCTCTGTCTCATCTGGCTAAAGGTTTATCAATTTTGTTGATCTTTTCAAAGAACTAGCTCCTGGTTTCACTGATCTGTTCTACTGATTTTTTTTTAGTTTCTATACCATCTATTTCTGCTTTCATCTTTATTATTTCCTTACTTCTGCTGGTTTTGGATTTTGTTTGTTCTTTCTTGTCTAGTTATAAAGGAAATGTTCAATTTTCAATGTTTGTGGATCTTGCTCCTGGGCTCCCAGGGAAGCTATACTTTTATCATGGTCAGAATGACTTCACCAAACTTCAAAGTGTGGGCTCTATATCTGTGCTGAGCACAGACTGTACATCTACTTTGTAGCAAATAACAAAAAAGAAACATTTCAAACTAAAGATAAGAGTAAAAATTTTCTTAGTTCCATTTCCATAGCTCTGAAACCTGCAACCTTGCATATACTAAAAGCATAAGATAACATTTGTAACCTTCTGAAATGTCCTTCATCATGATGATTTGTGACTTAATGTAACAAAAAGCTATATATACCCCTGTATTAAATACTCCTTTTCTGGAGCACTTTCTTCCATATTAAGACTGTGTATTCTGGGCTGCTGTCCTCACTTGAGCTTGAATAACTTTCTATCTTTTTTTTTAAGAAATTCTAAGTTTTTTTTTCTTCCAAGCTTTTATTTAAATTCCAGTTAGTTAACATACTGTGTAATATTAGCTTCATGAATAGGACTCAGGAATTCATCACTTAAATACAACACCCAGTGCTCATCACAAGTGCCCTCCTTAATACCCATCACCCACTTAACACATTCCATCACCCACTTCTCCTCCACCAACCCTCAGTTTGTCCTCTATAGTTAAAAGAATCAACTTTATATTTTGCCTCTCTCTTTTCCCCTCTCTGTTCATCTGTTTTGTTCCTTAAATTCCACATATAGGTGAAATCATATGGTATTTGTCTTTATCTGACTAATTATTTCACATAGAATAATACTCTCTAGCTCCATCCATGTCATTGCAAATGGCAAGATTTCATTCTTTCTTATGGCTGAGTTACCTATCTATCTATCTATCTATCTATCTATCTATCTATCATCTATCATCTATCTATCTATCATCATCTCACTTATTTATCCATTCATCAGTCAATGGATATTTAGGCTCTTTCCATAATTTGGCTAGTAGTGATAATGCTGCTATAAACATCAGGGACATGTATCTATCTTAATTAGTATTAATGTAAACTTTGGGAAAATACCTAGTAGTACAACTGCTGGATCCTGGGGTAGTTCTATTTTTAACATTTTGAGGAATTTCCATACTGTTTTCCAGAGTGGCTACACCAGTTTGCATTCCCACCAACAGTATAAGTTTCCCTGTTTCTACACCCTTGATAACATCTGTTGTATCTTATGTTTACTTTTAGCTATTCTGGAAGGTGTAAGGTGATATCTCGTAGTTTTGATTTATACCTCCCTGATGATGGGAGATGATGAACATCTCTTATCTGCTAGCCATCTGTATGTATTCTTTGTTTTCTTTTTAATTTTTATTTATTTATGATAATCACAGAGAGAGAGAGAGAGAGAGAGAGAGAGAGAGAGGCAGAGACACAGGCAGAGGGAGAAGCAGGCTCCATGCACCGGGAGCCCGATGTGGGATTCGATCACGGGT